CAATAAAGACGATTCACTAATGGTAGGTGATGTGCTTGTTGATAGCATTGAGGAAGTAGTTGTTTTAGACGGGGAATTAAATAAAGGACTCTGAGTAATTGTTGTGTTTGTTGTTGATGATGGTTGTTGGAATAAGAAAGGCGATGAAGTGAATTGAAATGTTGGAAATGCTTGAAAATCATTTCTAACATTTTTGTCTGCAACTGACGATATTGGTGTGCTTGAAATCGTGGACAATGTTTCTTGTTGCTGTTTCGACTTCTCTAATAAATCAAACGATCTGCCACTTGATTTAACACGATCTTTATTTGAATCGTTTAACAATGTTGAAGTTTCAGGCATTGTATTAGTGTTCAAGGATGGTTTACTTGCATCAGCTGTAGTTTGCTTGGTGATTTGTTGTGAAGTGGTAAAAATTGGTAATGGATTAAAATCGAGTGGTAAAACTGATGTTGTTGTGACAGAAGAGGGTACTGTCGGAACTGAAGTCGAACTGGTGACATCAATTGAAGAACTTTTATTGAATAAACGTTCAAAATCGTTACAAGCCAGAGCTAATTAAAAGAAGTATTCGCGTGTCAGAAAAAAATTCTGATTAGATAAATTTATTATTACCTTCATAAAGATTAATCGTTTCTTGGACAGATTCAACGAAGCCTACAAGACAAAAAGGATGTAATTCAAATTGTGACATGAACAAAGTGATACACAGATAAATGATTCAATTCGTCAGACAATTTGTTGTAATTATCTCAATGTCGTAATGATCTAGTACGTTCTTTCAAATACTTTTTCCACTGACCCGTACGTCGCTGTTGTTTTAATCTTGTCATTAACCATGGAGAATATTTCAACAATTCTTCTTCGTATTGAAAATATTTTTTAACATAATCCAGACAGTTTGTGACGAATATACTGTACGGTTCATTGGAAAATTGTGCTTCTATTGTGGACGTAAATTGACGATTTAATTCTAATAAACGAGATGGATAATGTTCAACTGTTTTCTTATTAAAATCATACGTAACCTAGAACAAGCAAATAAAAATCAGTGATTTTTTCTAAAACAACATAGATATCTCGACATTACATTTTGTGTTTTATTCGGTACCAATGAACTTCTTTTTGCGTATGGTAAATCATCCTCTTCATTTGGTTCAGCTGTTTCCTAAAATAAACGATTCGATGAAGAATATTTAGAAAGAATAGACCCATTAACACTCACTTTTCTCTTCGACATACTTCTTTTTATAAAATCTACAAAATAAAAAATAATGAGGTTATCATTATATCAGCGTCGATAACCATTTGAAAAAAATAACGGAATACTCAAATGCTAACCAAAAGTAGGAAAATCAGCCAACCATAGAAAATACAGTGAGAGTTATATCATATTTCCGTGGGATTCCGTAACCGGATTTGTTCAGAAAGTCCTGTAAGATTTAAGTAATATTTTAGAAAAGCAGCTATAATTGATTGACTATATATTCTTTATTAAATAATAAACTTAACATTTCGATCTCTTCTTAGAGCCATTATCAACAGCAAATTTGATTTTTTGAAAAGTTTTAGTTGTAATTTGCTCCTGATAATGGCTCTGAGAAGAGACCGAAATGTTGAGTTTATTATTCAATAAAGAATATATAGTCAATCAATTATACCTGCTTTTCTAAAATATTACTTATTTCGCTTATTGGCTCTAACGTCATTCTGTAAGATTTTTTATGGAACTCTCCACTAAAGTGATGGATAAGAATTTCGTCTACTTCTGCAGAATAATTACATTCTATTGTCGGGATGTGATCAATCTGCGAAAGTATCAAGCTTCAAGACTTTTAAGATTTGGGCCTTAATCTTGAGATCAATTATTTTGTCTTCTTTCGATCTTTTTTGAGATAGGGCTTATTAGCGAAGTACAAGAGTAACTATTTAGCTAGTGTAAAATTT